TGTATAAGACAAGAAGAATAATGACTCGAAACCAGACAGATAGATGTCAAACCTGTCTTTTGAGGGCGTGGAATGCTCATGGTTGTCGCAGTCCATGGCCAGCTGAAAGCCTGAAACAGGAGGCAGCTGAGCAATAGCAACTTTCAACTTTCAACTTTCAACTTTCAACTTTCATCGAATTTCATCTCATGTCGAGTTAAATTTTAGGGATAATCTCAGAAACCTCCCCTGAGGTTTCATGAAATATCACCTAGCTCCCTTGAACTTTTCAAAATCTCATTTAGCACTCTTGAAGTGATAGTGGGACTAGGAGTGCAAAATATAAAACTCGAGTTCGAGTCCTAATTTAAAAAATAAAAAAAATAATTATTTTATTTAAAAAATAAATAAAATAATTTTTTAATAAATAATAAAATATTAGGGATATATATGTAATTTTACTATTAAAATAAAAATAAACCTATATATATATATATAATTGAATCGGCTAGCGAATTAACGAGTTGAATATCGTTGAGCTCGAATTTGAATTCAAATTCAACTTGGTCAGTTCGAGCTTGACTCAAGCTCGATGTTAACTGAATTCGAGTTGAGCTCGGAGTCGATAGATTTGCGGGCGAGTCGATTCATTTGCAACTTTAAGTGGACCATCCCGCAAGTCGATTCATTTGCAGCTTTAAGTGGGACCATATGCCAATATCAAAGGTGAAAAATTATCAATAATACCCTTGTATTTAAATTTTCTAAACTTTTTTTCTCTAAATTTCTTGCTTTTCTTTAACAATGTCTATATATACACACATTCATATTATATATATATATATATATAATTGAATTGCAAGTATCAATGAAATATATAATTTAATCAATGTAATATTCAATGCATTTAGAGAAGGATAGATGTAGGTTTTTTTTTTTTTTTTTTTGTGTTTCACAACTATATTTATTTATTTTTATTTGTTCCTTATCATGTAGAGCGCTAGAGAAATGAAGTAATTGAAGTTTCGAACCATGATTTTTCAAATTTTGACTTTTTATTTTTTATAATAATATTTTCATATTTCACACTTATAAAAAAAGTCGGTTTATTTTGAGTAATTCTCTGTATGATATTGATGTTGAATTTCATCTATTATTCAGTTTCTTTGCTCAAATGTATGATTTTTATATGCTAATTGCCTTCGACACTATGAAGGGTTCTATTTGTAAAAATGGTTTAAAAATAGTACTATTTGCTTTTACTATTTTTCTTTGCTATAGAAGTGATTATTCGCTGTAATATCCTTATCAACTTTCATCCCCTCACTTTTAAGATGGTTCCAATTTAGTACTTTTTTTTCTTGGTTTGTAAAATGTTCATTTTTTATAGCCTTAAGGGTATTAAGGGCACTAAACTACTCTCTCTCCTCAAACATGAATTTTCTAGTATTACTTTTGGTTAGAAGGGTTGACAGTGTTACCCAAATGTCAATTCGAGGGGCGCTAAATGAGATTTTGAAAACCTCAAGAAAGTTAAGTGATAATTCACGAAATCTCGGGGAGGTTTCTGAAATTATCCCTAAATTTTAGCTTTGGATTGCATGTTGTATTGTGAGGTCCATACTATGCTCACAAAAGCGTCGAGGCTATTTTGGTTGGATATGGTTTATAGATGATTTTATTATTATTATTTTTGAATCACAGCACACAAAGTCAATAACAGGCGTCACAAAATCCTCTACGAATTAACTTGTCTAAGGTAGCATTAGCCAATCAAGTCTTTGATCTTAGACAATTTTGTAATTGGGACCTACGTAAAAAGAATTTGGAAATATTTGATCTTAATTTTTTTTTCAACTGTGTATATGGTTTTAGTTGCCTCCAAAAAAATCGGGCAATATGTAAATGCGGAAAAGTCCTGATCAAGTGCGGTTTCCAAATGTTGTTTTGAAGTGGGCTGATTCGAACACACTCTGCTGGATGGTTTCTCCATTCAATTCTGAGAAGCCCCAACTGTTACTTTCCCTCTGCGCATGAAATGTTTGTTTGCTTTGTGCCCTTGATTTGATTTGGTCTATATTCCGTTCTGGCGAGGACAGAAAGGAAGGGTAGAGAGAGATTGATTAATAATAGGGTAAAGTATGGACAGTGGCTTTACTGGCATTTCCAAAAATTTCACATCGATCATTGGGGGGTTTGGGGTTAGATTATTAGTTCCCTGGGTGGCCTCAAGAGTTGCCGGCTTTTGAGGTTTACCTGGAATTAAGGATTAGTGATTTAATTTTGATTTTTTCGTTGAAAGAAAAAAATTACTATTTACCTCCATGTAGTTTTATCGAATGCTAGATGATCCCCTAAAAGTTTTAAAATAATATCATAACCCCCTATAATTTTATGTAAAGTGGAAAATAGACATTGCGCAATCAGTTACGTAGTTATACCAGATACACTTTAAAAGTGCTTGTGATAAAATTTTAATATCCACATAATTCCTTATAATTTGTATAAATATTTATTTTACCCCATGTGATTTTTGCATTTAAGTAAGGACACTATTGGTACTTCAATTAATGACATTACATAAGCTATTTTCCGTCAAATTTCACTTTATACAAAACCGTAAGGGGTGAAGTGAATATTTTGAAACATTAAGGAGGTCATATAGCAATTGATGAAACCACAAAAAGATTATATGTAATTTACCTTAATAATACTATGATGCTAGCTAGTAGTGCATTCAAGCTCTGTGCATACGTGCATGCAAGGTTTGTAAAATCGGGATCCTACGTAGGATCGATTTTAGTTTCACAGGATCGGATCGTAGGATCGGATCGTAGAATCGTAAGATCCTACCAAAAGTTCTTAATTGCAATTAAAGGTTGCAATTCTTTGATAAATTACAAATATACCACAAATATTTTCATTTATTTGCAAAATGGAGCTTCGTATTTCACAAATTTACAAAAAATTGTAGGATCGTACGATCCTACCGATCCTACGATCCTACACGATCCTGCACGATCCTGCTACGATTCTATGCGATCCTGCAAAAAATTAATATGATTTGCGATTCTGCATACGATTCGGATCGATTTTGGTTATCCGGATCGTAGGATCGTACGATCCTACGATCCGGATCGCGATTTTGACAACTATGCGTGCATGTGTGTGTGTGTGTGTAAATGTAGATATATTATTGGAGTCTGCTCAAAGGCATATATGAAAGCTCCTCCTCATGATTTGGTGCTTAGTACTGCTATACAGGGACGGAGCCAGAAATTTATTTTTGAGGGGGCTGAAGTGTATTAAAAAATTTTTTTGTGACGAAATAAATATATTTAATAAGTAAAATTTAGAATCAATAATTATAAAAATAATAAAAACATATAATTATATATACCCAAAAATAAGTATTGGTAGTTGTTGCACTCGAATAACGAAGAGGAGGCAATTGCATTCTGCGAGTCTTCATCCGTTGAAAACGCTGCAATATTTGCTCATTTTCAATTGTTGCAAAAATATCCTTCTCGATGGGATTGCAGGAAAAAAAAAAAAAAAAAAAGCACAGTCGGAAGATGGACCTCTGCTCTTACCTACCACCGTAATATAATGGATTAGGATTCCCAGCAGCAGTTACTTTGGGGCAGCTTCAGAGCTTTGCCAAGTTTATTTGCTACAAATTTTTTAAAAACTTTAATTATAGTAATCTCAAAAATTTCTCAAAATTTTTAAACTACACACTTCAAAATATTCAAAAATTTACGCACTTCAAAATTTTTTAAAAAAACTTCTATAGTAAGATACAGTAAAGTTTTAGACAAAGATCCAAAAAACTCACTTGCCAAACCGGGGCAACATTCGTAGCAGCACTTTTGTGAAGAGAATAAATGTTTGTTTAATTCCAACGGCACCACTCGTGACTTCTTGAGGCAGCAACAATTGACACCAGCTGAGCTGAGCTGAAGAATTGCACGCTTCGATGGGCCTTCTGTCCATTTTCCCAACGTCAGTCAAATCCATGGGCCATGGACACCAGCAACAATTGACTTTTCTATTTGAACTTTGGTCTACTCTTCCTTCTAACCCAAAAAAAAAAATTTTGGCCTACTCTAAACCAAAATGTTTACTCTTGACTACAGGCAGTCACGAGGGTAAGAAATTAATTGACAAAGGAAACAACGGACTCAGAAAAATTGTTTTGACAAATTTAATCTTATCCTTACCGTCCAAATCTTGGGGGGGGCTTAAGCCCCCACCAGCCCCCCTTAAATCCGTGGCTGCTGCTATATACTCCATCTCTGTCCTATTAAAAATGTCATATTTTTTATTTTGAAATGTCGCAAAATATTTATCATATTAAAAAAGTTAAAACATCTTTTTAGTCTCTGTTTTCAATATAATCCTTTTTTCTAATTATATGTATGTTATCATTTAAATTTAATTTTTGAATACATAAGAATAAAATTTTAAAAAAAGTACAAATATCACGATCAAATCACTATTGTTAAAATGTTAGATTCTCCAAATATGACTAAATAATGCGACGGAGACGGAGGATGTTTTACAACTTGCGACATATATAAAATTGTAGTAGTGCGTAAGCAGATAAATGCAAGAGTGGCTGATTGGCTGAAAGGGCTGATCATTGATGACGTATCGCTGCTGACTTACGGCCATACTTTGTGTCAGGAAATGATATTATGGAAGCACCAAAACTGTGTCGTGTTATTAATAAATGTCGGTTAGCTTTAATTGGATAGTTGGAGATATTTTTGTATAAAACCCTCAGGGTTGTAACAGAATGGGCAACGAAATTAATATCAAGTGGATTACTTCCTTTCTCTCTCCAGTCTGTTATATTTCTCTCCCTACTCCTTTCTCCTAAAACTTCCCCTATTTCCTCGCTTCCTCTATCACCGACCAATTTCCCTCTCTGATTCCGGCGAATGCTCCGGCAACCGACCCTCCGGACCTGACATTTGGTATCAGAGCAGCCGATCCTTGGCTGCTTGGGGACTACCATGGCCGAAAACACCAGATATCGAGCATTGGAGGAGCAGATTAGGAAGCAAGACGACAGGCTGCAGGAGATGGCAGAGAAAATGGCTGCCTCCCGGACGGCCGAACGCGACGAGTTACACCGGAAGCTCCATGACGAGTTAGAGCACAATAACGCCAAATTGGAGACAATGGTGGGGACCTTGGACCAGAAGTTCAACCAGTTGGAGCAGAAGCTCAATCTACTCCTGCGGGCAATGTCGAAGGAAAAAGGCCTCCTGGATGGCGAGGGGGCAACATCGGAACCTCTTCTCCCAACTCCCCCGCCGCATTTGAAGCTATTTTCTCCGAGCAAACCAGCTAGCCACCAGCAGGAGACCAGAGGAAGGGCGCTCACTCCGGCAGTGCCGCGAATGGAACTAACGGCTTTCTCATCAGGTAACCCTCGCGAATGGCTGAGGAAGTGCCAGAAGCATTTCTTGAATTACCAAGTACCACCTAACCAGAAAGTAGACTTGGTTGAAATGTTCTTGGAAGGAAAAGTTGATAACTGGTTTCAGGGCGTGAAACTAGCTAAACCGGAATTGTCTTGGGAAGAATTTAGCGAATTGTTGTGTGAAAGATTTTCAGGCAAAGGTTCACTGGATATAGTCGAAGAATTCAATAAATTGCAGCAAAAAGGGACAGTTGAAGAATATGAGGAAAAGTTTGAGGAGTTGAAAACACTTATGCTAATCCGAAACCCCAAACTAGACGAGTCTTATTTTGTTTCCAGTTTTATAAGTGGGTTGAAGGATGAAATCAAGACCATGGTAAAAATGTTCAAACCTCACACCCTACCAAAAGCATTTGAGATAGCCGAATTACAAGAAAACGCCCTGGAGACTCAGTCCAAGCAGTTCAAATCCCAGGCTAGACTTGCAGTAGCACCTAAATTTGGGATGTTTAAGAACCAGGCAAGTAGCCAAAACCAGGCCAATTCATATAGGTTACCTGCGATTGTTCCCAACACCAGGAATACTGATCAAGTACACAGAGAGATTGGGAAAATATCAGCCGAGGAACTACAGTATAGGCGCAAACATGGTTTATGCTATAGGTGTGGGGAGAAGTTTGGGGTGGGGCACCAATGCAAACCTGGTAACCTGAACTGTATCAGTACAGAGGAAGAGGAAGAGGCTGCATTTGAAGACGCAGTGGGGGAACAAGATGAGTATACAGGCAGGGTGGGAGAGCTTGCGGAAGTGTCCCTGAATGCCCTGTCGAGTGCTATCAAGAGGAAATCCATCATGCTGTTGGGGAACTTAGGGGGCCTGCCAGTTAAGATCCTAGTGGACACCGGAAGTTCCGATAGCTTTATAAACCATAAGATGGCCAGTCTATTGCATCTACCTTATCAGGCAGTGAACCCTTTCATTGTGACCCTGGCCGATGGTACAGACATCACGAGTGGGGCAATCTGTCCCAGGGTGACATGGATCATACAGGAAAATCAGTTCCAGTTCGACTTGAAGGTGATGGAGCTTGGAGGATGGGACATTATCTTGGGGGTGGACTGGATGTATCAATTTAGCCCAATTACTTTTGATTTTCACACCCTCAGCATTGCCCTTAGCAACCAAGGGCAGTTACTCCATCTGCAAGGTCTCATTAATCAACCTGCAATGGAGTTAGTTCGGGGTAAGGACCTCAGACCATTCATAGAGGCAAAACGCAGGGAATGTGCCTCCTTGCACGTGGAGTCCAAGGGAGATCAGAAGGAGATTATTCCAGAAGTGGTAGAGGAAGTCCTGCAACAGTACTCCATGGTGTTTGCTACTCCCACAGGATTACCTCCAGAGAGGGAGCTTGACCATCAGATTAACCTTAAGCCAGGGGCTGAGCCCTTTAAACTCAAACCGTACAGGTATCCTCACTCCCACAAAACGGAGATAGAAAAACAAGTGGCTGAAATGTTCACCAATGGGATCATTGCACACAGCACAAGTCCCTTCGCTTCACCAGTGTTGTTAGTAAAAAAGAAAGATAATTCCTGGAGGCTGTGCATCGATTATAGGAGGTTGAATGACATGACTGTTAAGGATAGATTTCCTATTCCTAACATCGATGAGTTGCTGGACGAGCTACATGGCACCAAGTACATGTCTAAGCTGGATCTCAGAGCCGGCTACCATCAGTTGAGAGTGAAGGCAGTAGATACGCACAAGACTGCTTTTCAAACACATCATGGGCATTTTGAGTTCCTGGTGATGCCATTTGGGCTCACTAACGCTCCGGCCACGTTCCAGTCATTAATGAATAGGATATTTCAGCCTTTCCTGAGGAAATTTGTACTCGTCTTCTTCGACGACATCCTGATCTACAGTCCCACCTTGGAAACTCACGTCCAGCACCTACAAGCTGTCCTTGAGATACTGGCTACAAACAAACTCTATTGTAAGAGGTCTAAGTGCTCATTTGCGCAGACATCTATAGAATATCTGGGACATGTGATCTCTGATGTCGGTGTGAGTATGGATTCAGCCAAGGTGGATTGCATCCGGGATTGGCCTACACCCAAAACAGTCAAGGAATTGAGGGGTTTTTTGGGCTTGACCGGATACTACAGAAGATTTATCCATGGTTATGGGTTGATTTGTAAGCCTTTGACTCAGTTGTTGAAGAAAGATGGTTTTGCGTGGACCTTAAGGCTCAGTTAGCCTTTGAAGACCTTAAGAGTGCCATGATCACTGCGCCAGTCCTAAGCATGCCCGATTTCGAGCTTCCCTTTGAGATAGAAACGGATGCTTGTGGGGTGGGCATTGGCGCAGTCCTAATGCAGCGGGGGCATCCGATAGCCTTTCTTAGCAAGGCTTTATCCCCTCAGAATTTGGGACTCTCTGTATACGAAAAAGAACTGTACGCCTTAGTGCTAGCAATCACCAAATGGAAACATTATCTCGTGGGGCATCATTTTGTCGTCAAGACCGATCACCAGGCTCTCAAGCACTTGCTGGAACAGAGGCTCACCCACCCCTTGCAACACAAGTGGCTCACCAAACTACTTGGACTCGATTATGAAATCCAGTACAAGAAAGGCTCCGAAAATGGGGCAGCGGATGCTCTATCCCGAAAAAGAATGGAGGGAGAAGGAAACACCCATAGCCCAACACATCACCTGAGTGCCATCTCTGCCGTGCAGCCAGCTTGGATGCAGGAGTTAGTTGATAGCTATGAAGGTGATCCAACGGCACAGCAGAAGCTAGCTCAACTACTTCTAGACCCCACAAATGACCCTGATTACCAATTAGACCAGGGGTTGCTTAAGTACAGAGGGAAGTTGTACGTGGGATCTGCCAATGATATCAGGAACAAATTGATTAAAGCACTGCACGACTCTGCAGTGGGAGGTCATTCGGGCCAAAGAGGGTGCTTACAGAGAGTACAAGCTCTGTTCTACTGGCCTGGAGTACGGAGGGATGTCACTCAGTTTGTACAGTCTTGTGACATTTGTCAGCGCAATAAACACGAAAACCTTCCTTACCCGGGACTATTACAGCCTATCCCTATACCCCAGCAGGCCTGGTCACATATCTCCATGGACTTCATTGAGCAGTTACCCTCCTCCAAAGGCTATGACACCATTTTGGTAGTGGTAGATCGACTAACCAAGTTCAGTCACTTTGTCAAACTCACACATCCGTATACCGCTCAGCAGATAGCCCGAGCTTTCCTCGACAATATATACAAGTTACATGGCCTGCCTGAGTCCATCATCTCTGACAGAGACAAGATCTTCATTAGCAGATTTTGGCAGGAGTTGTTTCAAATGATGGGGATCAGCTTGCACTATAGCTCTTCCTATCACCCCCAATCGGATGGGCAAAGTGAGAGGGTGAATCAATGTTTGGAGACCTACCTTAGATGCATGTGCAGTGACCACCCCACTCACTGGAGTAGTTGGCTACCAACCGCGGAACTCTGGTACAATACCAACTTCCATACCAGTTTGCAGGTCACACCCTTCGAGGCATTATACGGGTATAAGCCCAACCACATACCCTTGGGGCCATTTCACGACAGCATCATACCCGCGGCAGCCAACATGTTGCAGGATAGACTTCAAGCACTGTCCCTCATCAAGGAGAACTTGGCAAAAGCTCAAAATCGCATGAAGTTTTTCGCAGACAAGCACAGGACGGAAAGGACTCTGCAGGTTGGGGATTGGGTATTTCTCAAGTTGCAACCATATCGACAGCAGACAGTGGCCATTCGTAGTAGTTTGAAGCTCGCTGCTAAGTATTATGGACCCTTTCAGATTGCGGCCAAGGTTGGGGCCGTCGCATACAAACTGTCGCTACCAGAGGCAGCCCGCATTCACCCCGTTTTTCATGTATCACTGTTGAAGAAAAAGATAGGAAACACTCAAGCCATTGAGCCTCTCTTACCAATCCTAAACTCAGCTGACCAATGCTTGCTGCAGCCTGAGAAAGTCCTTAGGAGGAGAGCCACCATGAGGAACTCGCGGCCGGTCATTCAGTACTTGGTGAAGTGGAGCCACCTGCCGGAGTCTGAATCTTCTTGGGAGGATAAGGCGTTCATTGACAAGCAGTTTCCGGGTTTCCAAGCTTGAGGACAAGCTTCAGTCTTAAGAGGGCGAGATTGTCAGGAAATGATATTATGGAAGCACCAAAACTGTGTCGTGTTATTAATAAATGTCGGTTAGCTTTAATTGGATAGTTGGAGATATTTTTGTATAAAACCCTCAGGGTTGTAACAGAATGGGCAACGAAATTAATATCAAGTGGATTACTTCCTTTCTCTCTCCAGTCTGTTATATTTCTCTCCCTACTCCTTTCTCCTAAAACTTCCCCTATTTCCTCGCTTCCTCTATCACCGACCAATTTCCCTCTCTGATTCCGGCGAATGCTCCGGCAACCGACCCTCCGGACCTGACACTTTGCATGAGTAGTGGTTGAGCTAAGGGCGGCTGTGCTGGTGGCGGCCACACTTGGGCTTTGCATAAATTACTACTTAAAATAATACCATAATATTTTTGTCGCTTGAATTCTAACTTAAAATAAAAAGATTCCCCAATCTCTTCCCATTTGTTACTTTATAATTTTTCAGCCGCCAGCAAATTAATGGATGGATATTTGTCTGCCATGCACCATGCAGGGTGTGAAGCCCGTTTGAATTTCAACATCAAAATTTTACTAATTGATTCTTCAAGTTTTGTAATGATTTCAGGTAGAATTTAAACATCAAATTTTACACATAGAGCATGGATTCGCACTTAATCAACCTTGACAATGCACTATTTACAACTAAAATTATCAAAACTCCAAGCTCAAGGGATAAATTACTTCGGGAGAGAAATGTAATTCTGATTCTCAATGTTCGGCCTACGTGCCAAATTAGTCCCCAATATTTCAGTCAGGCAAATCTAGTCCCTAAAATTTATGTGTTTTTTTTTTGGCAGATTTAGCTTAATTAATGAAAAATCATCATACCTAATAGTTAAGGATGGCTTATATCGTGTACAGTTTAAGTTTGGATCTATTTTATGTACAAGTTGGTCTTGTATAAATATTTGAAATTGATATGGATGTAAGTATACATTCCACGATTGGAATCAGTTTCCGCTGCATTTGTGACATGTAATTATTGGAGACTTGGATGTATGTTTGTGGACCATGTGATGTATATTTGAGATTTATATTGTAATTCATTTGAGGATTGTAGTGATCGACTGAGTCCCGGCGAGAGCTGGACAGGCGGCCCGCCGAACCCTCTGGTTCGCCTTAGGGGGAGGTGGGGCCGTCACACTTCATGTTACCTTTTTGTTTCCAAGAAAATCATGTTTTCCACCCTTGCATTAGTAATTATTTGGCGAGGCATACGACTAGTAGTCGAGCCTCATGTGCATTGTGTTTACTCGATTATGAATGTGAAATCTTCAATTGGTTTACTTTGATTATTTTAGGGTTTCTTGGCGATTAAGGCCAATCTGAAGTGAAAACTTTTGAAGTTGAGCCGGTGAGTGTACCACTCCCCTCCATTGCTGTTTAACTTGATTTCTGCTCTGCAATCTGTTTATTTGTTTGAGACGAGAGTGCACTTTATCACACTCGTTCTCTTGTCTGTTCATATGCCAATTTACTATGCAAAATTTGAATCTGTTATTTGTGTCTGCATCTGTTCGGATTTCTATGACCTATGAGCTCAGTCCTGTGGCTAAGTTATTCGAGTCGGGCCGGCAAGGGCCTGGACGATTAAATAACGAACCACGGTAGTCTGTTCGGGAATTTTGGGTATTGAGACCCTTGATTCCGGGTATACTCGAGTATTACCATTTTGTTCGTTTGAGGTGAGCGGGCCCGGTAAAGGGGTGTTTGGTGGACGGAATTCGTTGTTAAGAGGGGTCTACGGACGTTTTGGTTCTATATACGTTGACGGAGAGTCAACCGATTTGGATCAAGTACTGCGCTGGAAATTTGGCTCCTGAGAGCCACCCGTATCCTTCTGATTTGAATCATTGGTTCCTTCGCTTTACATCTGGCATGTGTATTTGTAAAATGTGAAATGCCATGATTTTTCTGCTATATGTTTGGTACCTCATTGAGCGCAAGCTCACCCCTTTCCGTTCCTTTTGTTTTCCTTACAGGAAATTAAACCCTTTTGGTCTGCATTTGACAAATGGCTGCCAAATTGAGCTAGTTGAACATATCTTTTGTATAGCTCATGTATTAAAACCCTAAGTGTACTTTTGGAGCGTTTTCTCTTTTGATTTGGCAAACCGTGTAAATGTATTAACTTTTGAAAGCTTGTGTATGTCATTTTGATTTGTAAACGCTAAAGTTCAGATGTGAATGTTTGTTAGCTATTTCGGTTGGGTTCTGACGGGTCGGTTCTACTCATGGCCGGCTCCGGATTTCATTTTATTTTATTCTGGGTTATTTTACTATTTTGATTTGTTTACGCGCGTTTATAAGTTCCGGATTGAAGCGGATAGCTATAATCTGATCCGTAGTCCTGGCGAGAGCTGGGCAGGCAGTCCGCTAACCCCTTTGGTTCGCCTTAGGGGAAAGTGGGGTTGTTACAAAGGTCGCCTCCACCCCTTTTGTTTTGTCTTGTGCTTCTTTCTTTCTTTTCTTCTCTTTTTTCCTTGAATTTTTCCAATTTTCCATTTGGGAGAATCTTCTCAAAAATAATTTGCCCCAATTTCCACCAATTATTGTGCAGCCGATGTGAGAACCTCGAAAAAACATATATATATAGATATCAATGCATATTGCAATTGCACTTTTAATTCTTTAATAAATTCTAGCATTATATCTACTTTTTTTTTTTTGAATGTATTTTTTTTTTCAATCCAAAAAACAGTTACAAGCGATTTCGAGCCTCCTATCCCTTACTCAAGTACAAATCTAAAAGCCGGGACTTGGGCAGCATCCATAGCAATACGTCCCCGAACCTGCCGCGGTAACAGCTGAGGAGAATTAAAAACCGTACTCGGACATCCCTGCAGAGCAGCTAACCCATCTGCAACCCCGTTTGCCTCTCGGAATATATGCCTAAACGACTTCGCAAGCTGATCCAACAGACGACGAATCCGCCTTATGACATTGCAATGCAACCAACCCCCCAGTGCCGAGGATTTGACTAAAGACACAAGGACCGCCGAGTCCACCTCCACTAGAATCCCAGATAACCCCCT